TTTGGGTCTGAATCGAGACCTCTTTGAGATCTCCTCTCTCCTCCTTGCCTACCACCTAGTGGATTGGCTGACACCAGGAGATGTCACTTGTGCGATTCTATCTGGGACCCGCCTGATCCATGCGATCTTAGGGATACCGTGGCTTCGCAACAATCCCTCCTTCCTCAGGATGCCTCTGTGTTTTGGGACTCGGAGTCTGTTCTCCTCTCTTGGGGTTTGGGGGGATGGGCCCCTTCCCTTCCCTGGCCTCCTGTCGGCTCCTGCAGTCTCGGGCTCAAGCCTTCGGTATGCTACATCCCACGGCTTCGGACCCTCACGTTATCTTTCAGGGGAAGCTTTGCAGGTCTAAACGCAAAGTCTGCTTCCTGTCTAAACGAGATCTTGAGGCACTCTCATACTGCTCTACGCTGCTATTCCAAAGGGTGGTCAAGTTGCCGGCTCGGTTTCTTATACCGTCGGGCCTTGGTGGTCCTCATTTCACATATGACTGGTGCAAAATCCCGCTTTTCAAAGCTTGCCGGGACAGCGGCTATAATGGACTGTATGTCAACGTTCGGGGTCCCGATGAAAGGGTTCGGAGAGTTCCTTGGAAAGAACTGGTTGCTGGTCAGTAGCCGTTTCGCCTCAAATCCTGACGGGAACTCTTGTCCGAGACGGCTGGGAAACATCCAACTCCAGGGGATGGCTAAACGCAGCCTCCCAGTCAAGCTCGCCGCCAAGAAGCGTCTCAAGTGGACACACGGCTCGGGAGGAATGTGGAACTATTGTGAAGAGGACAAAGTCTACACCAAAGTCTGGTATACGGAGTACTTTGACACGTGGTTCGATCCCGAATCGGGCTGGCCTCACCCAGTTGTATGGTACCTGTCTGACTACTGGTGGGACGGAGACTTCTTCGTGGAAAAGTGGCGTTGGAAGTACCCGTGAAGGCCATTCCTGGGACTCCTTCAGACTGAATCTCCTGGTGTCTGCGGTGCATGGGCCTGCGGCTTTTGGAGGACTCTCAGTCTCCCTCAATCTCTCTTGCATGTTCTTCAACGTTGTTGGTTGGCAAAATACAAAAGCTTATAAACATTCCCAGCCATCTTGCGTTCTCCATACCTGCTTGAATTCAACCATATTCCATATTTCTTGACATGCCTGGCGTGGGTTCTCACGGTTGGGATCTCACTCTGCTTTGACAGTTCATCTTGTATGCCTCCGTATCTTCTGGGTTCATTGCGTGCTTGGGACATTCAGTTTATATTTCAGATTCTCTTTCAGTACATATATCCGTCTTGGCTGCTACTTATGTTCAATGGGTTTCATGGGACTCAATGGAAGTTTTCTTCACTTCTTACTTACTTTAGACCTTGGGACCATATGCCCTCAAGGTTGGCTCCAAGAGTTACTCAAGATATTGTTAATCAATTTGGGCATCCTTCATTCTCTTGCATTACGTTTCTCATTTTTCCCATCTTCATTCAACGCAAGAGAGACCTTGTGGTGGGATTCATTTGGGACATTGGACAGTCTGTCATTCATGATTTCTTTCAGTATCATGGGTTTCAATCCTGGGCTGGGCTTCACCTTTCCTCCGCTTCCTTCCTCTCCCGCCTCTCCTCCCGTTTCCCTCTTTCTCTACCGTACGCATTTGGCGTATTGGTGGCTTCTCAGGTTTGTGTTCTGGGAGAACCGACCTTTCAAGGCGCTTCATCATCATCCTCCTCCTCCTGGTGGTCCTCGTTCTCCTCCTCCTGGTACTCTCCCCCCCCCTCCTCCTCCTCCTCCTCCTCGTCCTCGTCCTCCTCCTCCTCCTCCTCCTCTTCCTCCTCCTCCTCCTCCTCCTCCTCCTCCTCCTCCCCCTCCTCCTCCTCCTCTTCCTGGTCGTCCTCCTCCTCCTGGTCGTCCTCCTCCTCCTGCTCGTCCTCCTCCTCCTCCTGCTCGTCCTTCTTCTCCTGCTCCTCCTGCTCCTCGTCCTGCTCCTGCTCGTCCTCGTCCTCCTGGTCTTGCTCGTCCTCCTCCTCGTCGTGCTCTTGCCCCTGCTGACAATGTGGCCCAGGAATGGAAGTTCTGGGAAGTCGAAGAGCACGAAGTTGCCTACAGTTGGCTACGGGCATTCAAAATGTGGCCCGGGAATGGAGTTCTGGGAACTCGAAGAGCACGAAGTGGCCTACAGTTGGCTCCGGGCATTCAAAATGTGGCCCGGGAATGGAGTTCTGGGAACTCGAAGAGCACGAAGTGGCCTACAGTTGGCTCCGGGCATTCAAAATGTGGCCCGGGAATGGAGTTCTGGGAACTCGAAGAGCACGAAGTGGCCTACAGTTGGCTCCGGGCATCCAAAATGTGGCCCGGGAATGGAGTTCTGGGAACTCGAAGAGCACGAAGTGTGTGACTGTTGCATCCGGCCCTCCAGAATGTGGCCCGGGAATGGAGTTCTGGGATCTCGAAGAGCACGAAATGTGTGACTGTTGCATCCGGCCCTCCAGAATGTGGCCCGGGAATGGCGTTCTGGGATCTCGAAGAGCACGAAGTGTTTGACTGTTGCATCCGGGTATTGAAAATGTGGCCTGGGAATGGAGTTCTGGGAAGTCGAAGAGCACGAAGTGTGTGACTGTTAGTGAAAAACGAGCCCGGCACCTGCCGCCCGGCAACTCCCAACACCTGCCCGGACCCCCCTGTGGAGTGATCTGCTGCTCTCTTTTGATCCCACTAGAAACCTATCAGTCTTCGCTGTTAGGTAAAAACGGGTCCCGGGGGAACGGTCGGGACTTCCAGGGACCCCGTCCTGAAAAAATCAGGACGTCGCATGTCTGTGTCCGTGTGTCCGTGTCTGTGCTGTTTGCGCTGCGCTTCTCCCGGTGGCGGTGGCTCCGCGCCCTGCTTGCGGTGCGCCCGTGCGGACGGCAGGAGCACCGTCTCTTCGCCGCACAGCAGGCGCGGATTCGGCCAGCAGGCTGGTGCTGGGGGCGGCTGTTCTCCCCCCTCTCGCGTGGCGGCAGCGTTAGGTCGGGCCTGCCCCTCTACAGGAGGAGTGATCCCAAATAGTAGAAAAATTATATGGGGACCTTTTTTTGTATTTCTGACGAGTTTGGTAATATTTTTGTCCATTTCATTTTTCGTCCAAAGTCCCCCTGTAGGGGGACAGGCCCGACCTAACGGCAGCGGCGGCTCTGGGTGGATGGCAGGGACTGGGGCGTCAGAACCCCCCTTCGGGGTCCACGCCCGGTGCAATCGCAATAATTAGGCACGGACAGAAGAACGGGGGTGAAGATTGACAGCAGTCCGTGCCCATTTGGAACGGGACTCGCTGTCGCTGTCGCCGCGAATGCTGCCCTAAACAGTTTATCCATAAAGGTTTTTATTTGTACATGTGTATATATAGAATAACGTTTCGAAGAAATAGTACGGGGCAACCGTGATCTGGGATCGTTTGGACGCCGATTCTCTCCCAGTGTCTCTCGTTGTCTCTTGTCCTCTTCTGATGCCTCCCGCTGTTTCCCGTAGTCTCCCGTGGCCCCCCGTTGTCTCCCGTTGTCTTCCGCTGTCTCCCAGCGTCTTCCATTGTCTCGCACTGTCTCCCGTGATCTCCCATATTTTTCTCCCGTGTTCTCCCGTCGTCCCTCTGTGCCGTTCTAGGAGTCTCAGTCTGTGCCTCTCTCTCTCCGCCACAGTGTGAATAAAGTTGTTGGCGAGATTCTGCCGCAAGGGCGTTCCCTGAACCCCATTCAAAAAAAAAACAACACATGCATATATATGTGTGTGTATATATACATATATATATAAGAATAGGAAAGATTGTCTTCGAGGACGCTGGGAGCGGGACGTTAGGGCGGGGGGCCGGTTCGGCCCTCCCCTTCGAAAAGTCGGTTGCACGTGAGAGTGATTATTCGCAAGAGTGACCTTTGGTTGCGGTCCAGAAGCAGGTGCAGTGGAGCTCGGCCTCGCGTCGGCACACGCGGCATGGTTTTGCGCTCGCGTCTGAGCGCGCAGGTGTTGGGCCCCCCCCTCGCAATCGATCGCAACGCATACGCTGTGGATCCTACAATACGCGTTTGGTCTCCGAGGGCAGACCTGGTCGACAAGTTGGCGTGTTCTCCGCTACAGGACTGGCCCCGAAGTTCGGGACCCGTCCTGTGGCGGACCCGAACCCCAACCCAAGTCCCGAATCGTCAAGTTTGAACCAGTTTCGTCAATATTTGATAGGCTGGACTCAGTGAAAGTAAGAATCCTAACCTAACCAATCGAGTTCTTCACTATTGAACAAGTGTTCGCGTCCGTAGAGGGGGGGTTGGGGGTCCCAGTTTTTGCCACGACACCAGACTTGTTCAGACGTCGTCGCGATGAGGCCCAGCAGTGCCAGACCTCATCGTGGTGGCGCCGGGCAGCGTCTGTACATTTGGGGTGCCACTCGGGGCTCCCAATCGAGCCGGCGGAATTCCGCAGTCACCCGTTTGCGCTCGGGATCTTTCGAGGCGCGTCCCGCCGATCGCTGATGCAGTGCGACAGCAGCAACTTGCGTGGTTGCGTGGGGACCCCGCGGGCTCCCTTAAAATTGCATGCCAACGAGTTGTCCTTGCCTGGGGTCACTCTTACGTGCAGACGAACGAGTGGGGAAACCGGGGAGGACATTTCGAGGGGACGCGGTTCCAGAGCGGGCAAGTTTGGGATTCTGCACCAGTGAGGCGTACACATAATTCTCATCTCTGGCAGCTCGGGACTTGTCGAACTCTGGGCAATCGTGAAGAACGTCGGTCAGAAAAGGATTCAATTTGCTCCACTGGAGCACGGCACATCGCCTCTTGAAGCCCTCTGGGTTCGCTTTGGGGGCGTTCCTGGAGCGGTTTTGAAGCTTTTACATAGAGTTTTGCCTCTCGAGGGTATCCTTGGGAGGCTCCGTGGGTACTTGCAGCCGTCTTGAGGCGATCTCGGGATGTTTTGGAGGCGCTGGAGGCCATCTTGGGCTAATTCCATAGTGCCTTCTTGGATGCTATCCTTGGCTATCTCTGGTGCCACCATTGAGCCGTCTTGGGCTCAAAAGCATCCTAGCCATTTTGGCTCAAGTTGTGTCGAGCTCGTTTTGACCTCACACCTCTGATGCCGATGGCGCTTGCGCAGTCCCACTGCACGGAAGCGGCTCGCGCTGCTGCTCTTGCCTCGCACTCCGCCGCCAGCCTTGCCGCTGCCGCCGGGCTGCGCGAGGCAGCGCGCCTTCTCCGTTCTTCGGAGGCGCTGGCGCGGGCGGCCGTTGCGGCGCTGCTTGCACTTCCTCGTCCCGTGGCTCCTGCTCCTGGCGCTGGCGACGGCGCTGTGGGCGGCGGCGTCAAGGGAAAGATGAAGCGCGCCAAGAAGAAGAAGGGTAAGCAGGCTGTTATGGAGGGTGTGGACGGTGGTCCGGAGTTGCCGCCGCCAGCCGGTGGCGTCCCTGAGGTTGCTCCGCCGGCAACTTCTGCCTTGGCAGTGCCCCCGGTGGTTGCGGAGCTTGCTCCCAGCAGGCCGGCGCGCGTCTTGGCTCCCCGGTCCTCTCGGGAACGCTCTCCACGCGGCGTTCGCGCGCTGGCTTCAGCTTCACCTTCGTCTTCGCCTTCGCAGGTCCCAACTTCGGCAAGTGCTGCGACTTTCGCTGAGGGTCAGGCGGTGGTGCTCGGCGATCTGGTGTCTCGCCCAGATCTCACGGGCAAGTGCGGCGTCGTGAAGTTCTTCGACTCCACTTCGTCGCGCTACGCTGTCTGCATCGACGCCTCCGGTGAGATGGTCAAGGTTCTCGACAAGAACTTGCGGGCGAGCCTTTTCGCGTGCAGTCGCCCCGGCTGACGTTCGCCCTGCAGGTCCTTGTCGCGGTGGGCACCGTGTGAGGGGCATGACGCGAATTCAAGTGCAGTCCTGGGCACCCTCGTGCGTTCGCTCGTTCTGTCACTGCGGCCAGAAAAAAAAAGGCTCAAAAGCATCCTCTGGCACCTCGCCCTCTCTCCCCGCCTAGACCCAGGGATGGGGTAGGGGGAGGGCCAGGTCCCCCAAAGGGGTCGCCACAAACTGTCCTGCTCATTCCCACCCGCCCTCCCACCATGTCAGTGGCACCAGAGACTCAGCATAGGCAGAGGTCGTCATCGGATGGACAGCATCGGGAATCAATCCAGATGCCAGGTCCGCGACGTTGGCGAGGTGCACCACGCATAGAAGGTGCGCCAGGTGACCCAGGAGTCCCAATGTGCCACGCGCGCTTGGTGCGCCAGATGCGCCACGTGCGCCAGGTGTTCCACGAGCTCCAGCCGCGCTAGGCGCGCGACGCGCGCACAGTGCGCCAGGCAGCGACACATGCGCCAGTGCACGTGACAACGCACATCGTCATGTTGACACTCCTTGTCGTCCCAGTGCAAAGTGGCGGTGGGGTGGTCAGCATGGTGTATGGGGTGTGCACCCGCAGCCAGTTTGCTTGTGCTTTTGTTGCGGGAAGTGGGCTAGCGCGAAGCGGACAATTATGATCGCCCCCCCCGCCACCCCGAAAACCAATGTGATCGTGATGAGTTTGCTCATGATCCAGATGTTGCCGCCGCGTGCGCTTCATATGATCATTGGGCCAGGCATGGTTTGGGGGGGCCCATGGTTCCTGGGTTGGCGGCTGGTCGAGTGGGTGATGGCTTGTTTGTTGATAAGGAGCAGTTATCAACCCCACCCGAAATACAAGAAGGCAGTTGGAAGAGGAAGCGCTCGAAACCGCCTACGCCCCTAGCTGGTGGGACACTCTCCGCCGTGATCTCTGGACGACGCGAGGGGGCCTGGGCAGAGCGAACCGATCCGGAAGCCTCTTGGGCCTGGGGCCGAGTGCGGCCCACTGCAGGTGAGAGGAGGCCGTGCTCCCCCGGGCAAGTCATCCCGCGAGATCCGAGGAGATCGAGAGCCCTCCGTCCAGAGGAGAGGCCCGCTGGCTTCGCGCCGCGTTGAGGTGGCGGCGACCCCAGCTCGGGGGAAGAAACACGATGACGATGACCAAGGTGTCGCAGGATCTTGTCGACGCCGCTCTTGGCAAGGGTCCATGCTGGCCGTCGCCGATTCGCGGGGGCGTTCCACGAATTGACGACGATCAAGGTGGGGGATGACTCGTGACCAAGACCGACAAACAACGCCCACGTTTCCGCGCTCAGTCTTGGTCATGGTTCTCGTTTTCGTTCCCTCGCAGCCGCTCAAGGTTGAACGCCGCCAGCAGCTCGGAATCGGCCGATACCAATCGGCCTGCGACATTGGGAAGCCGCGATCGTTCGAGGTTGAACTATCCACGAGGTGTCAGAAGCCAACGCCGACGTCGTTGCGACGTGAATCTGCCGTATCCCATACGAGCTCCGCCAGCCGAGGGTACCTTTTCGTGAGGGACAACGTGGTCTTGAAGTGTTTTTCGTTGTTTCGGGAATCCTGGGGCCGTTCCGTGGGTCCGGAACGGTCAACAAAATCGACTCGGGGAGGACAATTTGCCCTGGGTAAAGCCCCGAGGTATGCAAGACCCGACTCCTGCAGGATCGTTGGTGGTCAGTTGCCCCTGGTCTGGGTCGAAGGCAAGAGGCAGGCATGCGGCGACGCCGAGGCAGACGAGGCGTGTTGCCAGCGTGCAGTTTTCGTCGACGTACGGGACTTCGCCTTTTCCACACGTGTCAAGCAGGGTGCGTAGCCACTTTGGCTCAGGCGCATTCGGCTCAGTCTGGGCCATTGGGCTCAGGCCAGCAGGGCCTAAACCACGATGGGCCGATCCCTGTTTGGCAGGCGACATCCAAGGCCAGCGATGGACCGCACCTCGCGATGGGCGCCCCTCATGCCCAGGTCGTCGCTGGGGGATCGGCTCAGGGCGAAGGCCAAATCGGACGTCCGCGGGGAGTGCAAGTACCGTCTCGATGGCGAGGCTCCCACCACGACCGCCGCCAACGAGACGAGCCGAAGACTCAGCGAATTCTATGGCTTAGTATGCCGACCCAGTAGGCGCTCTCTGCGCGACGAGGACATCCCCGGTGTGCCCGATCTTCCAGGGAGCCCCCGCGTGTCAGCGGGGCGCGACCAGGTCACGCGCCAGCCTTCGCCCGGGGCGAGAAGCGAGAAATGGACGATGGAAGATTACGAGATCGTGAAGACCCTTGGTGAGGGCTCCATGGGTTCCGTTCACATGGTCAAGTTTTCCAATGGCAGAGGTACCGTCCCGTACGCCGCGCTCAAGATCATCGACAAAGGGCGTGTCATCGGGGAGCACATGGTTGAACGCGTGATGCAAGAGAGGTTGCTCGTTTCGAGAGACAGTCATCCGTTCGTCGTCAGGCTGTTTGGCACGTTCCAGGACGACGCGCCCCAGCGGAGGAGACTTGTTCTCAGCCATGCGAAGCTTGAAGTTTAACGACGTGTGTGCGAATTTCTTCGTTGCTGAGATCACGCTTGCAATCGGACATCTGCACAGTTTGGACATCGCATATCGTGATCTGAAGCCCGAGAACGTTGCTATCGACTCGCTGGGCCACGCCAAGATCATCGACTTCGAATTGGGTAAGGTAATGACAATAACGTATACAGTGTGCGGAACATCGGAGTACATGGCACCCGAAGTCTTGACCCGAAACGGCCAAGGCAGATGAGTGGACTGGTGGGCGCTTGGCATCCTCATCTTCGAAATGCTCTCGTTCCAGCCCCCCCTCACGGGACGCACCGCTAGAGAGGTTCACAAGTCCGTGGTGTTTCACGGTCCGAGGTGCCCCCCCGCTTCGGGAGCGCGACCAAGGGCATCACCTACTTGCTCCTGATCAAAGACCAGGCGCTGCGCCTCGGCAGCGGCGCCGACGGCGGAGGACGCGTCCGGAGACACCCGTACGTGGTTCTCCCCCGTGGACTGGGACGACCTCCTCCGGCGGAGGCTCGAAAAAGAAAAACGCCTTGAACATACTTTTTTAGCGCTCCGCGCGGATTTCTTGGATCCGTGCGGGGCCTCCCCGGCGGCGCCTCCAGCGACGCCCCTGGCGCGCGGAGCGCGCCATGGGGGGCCCGGCGTAGATCCAAGAAATCCGCGCGGAGCGCCAAAAGTGTATGTTGATGGAGTTGTTTCTTCTTCTGGCGGTGCACCTCGCCCTTCCCCCCTGGACGCGCGCGGCGGTGACGGGCCGTCCGCGCGCGACGGCCCCCCCGAGGGCGAGGCCGATCGCGCCGCGGCTGGCCTCCAGCACGGCGGCCGCCGCACAGCGAGCGGCCGCTCCGAGGAGCGGTGGCAGCTGCTCCGGGGCTTCAGGTGCGCCGGCGGCCTCGCGCGCCACGGGCGCGTCCCTCTACAGGAGGAAAATTCGAAAATAATCAAAATATAGTCTGGGGAGGACTATTCTACGACTTTGGATAATCATTTTTGGTTATTTCTTGTTTTTGTTATTTTTCCCTCCAAAACCCGCCTGTAGGAGGACATGTCCGACCTAAGTCGAAGAGCCACAAATGGGCATACAGTGGGGTCCCGTGCCGAGAGACACCCTGCTTTTGCCTCCAGGGTATCCTGGGTCTCGATGGTTTTGCTGCGGAAGGCGTGACGTTCCCATACCAGAAATCAATGGTCCTGGGGTCTCAAGGTTGGGTTTCCTGTGGGAGGTGTCTTGTGGTCGAGTCCCTACTGCAAATATAAGTGTTCGACGTTCCGCGCGGACTTCTTGGATCCGCGTTGGGCCCCCCCCTGGCGGCGCCTCCAGCGCCGCCCCTGGCGCTCAGGGGGGTTCAGCGCAGATCCAAGAAATCCGCGTGGAGCGTCGAATGCGTATGTTTAAACAGTTGATTTTCCTGGTGCAGGGTAGTCATTGCTCCCTTTAGGATTCCGTCGGGCACGTCCCTCTACAGGAGGAATATTCAAGAGTAGTAAACAAATAGCCTGGGGACGATGATGCCTACTTTTTTGACAATTCTTTTGACGGTTTTCGATTTGTCGCCGGTAGAGGTTGACACTACGCTTGCCACTACGACCAGTTCCTGACTGCGTTGAACCTTAATTTAAATTAGATATTTCCAAATGTCTAAGTTTTGCTCAGAGCGATACACGTCGGTTGGAAGCTGACAGTTTCTTTTACGTGGAGGTCCGAACACGTGCACATCGGTCCTAACCCTGTCCTAACCATGGTATCTCAGTGTGTGTGCGAGTTGGAGTTTGGGTCACAATGATACAGGAGCGCAGCGAGACCCCAATCGGATTTCCATCAGATATAGTTGGTTGAGGCGCGCAGTAGGTGTGTGTGTGTGTGTGTGCTGTCTCGGCGGCTCGCGGCGGCGCCTGGATGGCGAGCAGCGGCACGCTGGCGCGACATGCCGAGGTGCCGCGAGGCGTGCCGCCAGCCGCCTCGTGTTCCACAGCCCCAAAACGGGGATGGGGGTCTCAGAGGCCTTGGGGAGCACGGATTTTGTACCCCGCCTTTTTGGACTCGTCGGGGAGCGCCAAAAAGCGTCAAAGGAGGGGAAGACTCGTTTTACCGCCCCCATGTGAAAGGGGTCCAGAATTTCACGAATAGGTTCAGCTAGTGGATTTGGTGTTACGTAACAAATGTGGCTCAAGGGATAAACATCTGTTTCTCCTCCGACTGCCACAGTTGGTAGAGGAGCGCGGTCCCGGCGGGCGGCCAGAGGCGCGAGGGAGAGCGGGCCCGAGGTGGTCGGCGTGCCTCCCGCCCCGGCCACGCTCGCACCGACGAGCAGCGTGGTCCACGGCAGGTGCGATGCCCGATGACGGGAAGGATGAGTGCGTGTATGCAGCTGGCAGCGGACCACCAGCAGCTCAGGGCAGCGCAGCCTCGAGCGGATCGCAGGGTGGCGCAGCTGGCAATATCTCGGCGAGCGGGCTTCGGGAGATGATCCGCGAGCAAGTGGCCCCACTTGTGCAGAGCATAGTCTCCGAGACTAGTGGATCTAAAACTCGAGCGCCGGGAAGCAGTGCAGACATCAAGGTAGATACGACAACTGACCCATGGCAGTCGGCTCAGCAAGATCCCTGGAAGAGCGAGAGTGGCGACAAGCGCGTCACCGAGGACGAGGCAGCCGGAGGAGACCAGGGACGCCAGGGCTGGTGCAACGACGACGGCTGGGGCAGCTCCGGCTGGCACGGCAGCGACTGGCGGGCCAGTCGCAGCGAGGCCGGCTGGGGCGACTTGGGCGCCTGGGACTCTGGCAGCCGCGGAGGCAGTTGGGGCGGCTCCTGGCGCGAGGGCGGCTGGGGTCGCGGAAACTTCAGCGACCCCCCCAGCTGGCCAGGCTGGGCTCAGTTCAGACAGTGGAAGAGGTTCATCCAGCGATGGAACAACAACACCGACGTTTCCATGTGTGGCGTCGGGCCGAGAAGTTTTTGAAACTATTCGATTGCGGCTTCCATTCGAGATTCGCGGACATCAGTGAATCCGAGCTGACGGCGAGTTCGTGGCTCGACACCCTCCTCGCCCGCATGGACATGATGGTCGGAGCCAGGGAGGGCGACGACCTCCGGAGAGCTGGCAGGAAGGCGTTCTTCGAGGCCACGCGGGAGCCCAAGGAGAGCCTCGCGCAGTATGTGAGCCGCCGAGAAGCTCAACTGCAGGAGGCCGAGGGCCACGACCTGTGGATGAGCTCCGAGCTGAAGGGTCTCCTCCTAGAGGAAGGCGCGGGTCTGACCGCGCAGGGCACTCAGAACCTACGGACGCTCGCGCAGGGTCGCCTCGACTTCGCGAACGTGACTTGGGCCCTCAGGCAGATAGACGCTGGGAGTTCTGAGCCCTCCTGTCCGGGCGACAGGGCCAAGGCGCGGTGCTAGCATCATCAGCTACTGAGGACTCCAGTCCAGTTCTAGATGCCTCTGCTGGTCCTTTCCAGCCCTCCTCTTCTCCTCCTCACTCCTCTGGTCGGTCGGGGGTCGGTCACGTGGGTCCTGGGGAAGACAAGACGAGAACTACTACGATGACGAACAGGAGGACTTAGAGGACAGCGACTCCGGAAACGACGAGCTGGCCTGGCTCGCAGAACTGGAGGATCTCGACCTACACGAGGATCAGGTGGACGACGCGCTGGGGTTCCTCGAGAGTCGGCCCAGACCCGCAGGCCGAACATGGAAGCATAGAAAGGAGCTGAAGCGCGCCGCCCGCAAGGATCGAGAATACTACGGGGTCAAGCCGAAGCCAGGTGCTCAATCTTCGGGGCCACCTCCGGTCAGGGCGTTGTGGGCTCGAGATGCAGGAGGTAGACGAGACAGGGCCCGCGGTCAAGAGGGCCGCAACTTCAAGAAGAAGCTGGCACGGGAGCAGCTGATCAAGATCACGAAGTGCAAGCGCTGCCACCAGGAGGGGCATTGGGGGAAAGAGTGTCCGAAGTATGGAGGTCACCTGGGCGGCGGAGTACGACCTGGCAGCAAAGGCAGTGGCAGCGGTCGACCGAACCAGGATCGCCAGACGCTCTCCGCCTACATGTTCGACGGGTTCGTGAGCCAGGGCTCTGGCCTTCAGGGCGTGCACGCTCTGGGGCCTCCTCCGCGCCTGCCCTCCTGGCAGGAGACCGAGATCCAGTGTGGCTCCGTGTTCATCGACGCGTCCTCTGTCCAAGGGCTGGTCGATCCCGGCGCGGGCGGCGACCTGGCGGGGGTGCAGGCTCTCAACCGCGAGGCCGAGAGTCTCGCCAGGATCAGGATGCAGTACGCGGAGATCCCGCTACCAGCCAGGCCGCCCAAGGCAGCCCACGGAGTGGGAGGCGTGGCGGAGGTGATCAACGCCATCCTCTTCCCCCTCTGACTAGGCGGCGTGCTAGGCATCATGGAGACGACAGCTTTGGCAGAGAATGTGCCGCACATCCTGAGCGTAAATCTTCTGGAGTACCTAGGATGCGTCATAGACCTTCCTAGGAATGACATGTTTTGCCACGCGCTAGACGAGGTTGTGAAGTTGACCAGGCTCGGGTCTGGGCACCGTCGGGTGGAGATTATTCAGCCTCTCAAGGAAGAGGCTAAGGCCCCCGCAGCAGCCCTGAAGAAGTTCCCGTTCTTGAGGCCAGACTTTTCCTATTTGACAACAGGGGCCCGCCAGTCATGTCTGGCGATGGGGTTGTGTCTCAGTGCGTGATCCTGCCTCTCCTCATCGTTGTCCTCATCTACCTCGTCTGGAAACTAGCGTTATTTCGGAGCTACGGTGGCCGCTACGTCAGAACGTCCGGGGACTACCAGGGGTTCTGGGCCACGGAGAACTCAAGGAGCCTTATCGAGCTCAACGTGTCGCGGCCTCAGCCGGCTGTTCCAGGATCGGTTCGGGCCTCAGGATCCTTCGACGAAGCTAAGGTGCAACGGCCCAGGAGTACCAGGTCTACGGCGCAGGATCGAACGCGTTGGGCCCTCGGAGGTCTCATCCTCATCATCATCATCAGCGTAGACCATTTTGGCTCGAACGTTCAGTCTTCCATTCGGTTCATCTCCTCACGATCCCAGATCTATCCGAGACAGCAAAGTCAGCATGGGGAGGCTCCTCGCGTTGATCGCGTTTCTCGCTGCGTGTACGACGGCCGTGGCAGGGAGGAAGAAGAAGGAGCCCGGAGCCAAGAAGGCCACGGATGACTTCCTGAGTCGCCGGGAGAATTCCGACTCCGAGTCGGTCAGCTCAGTCGATCCAGCAGCGTCGCAGATCCAGCCGAGCTCTGGGAGTCCGACGACGGCGGCAGCCCCCGACCAGCCAATGGGCACCGAGCTGTCGCACGAGTTCGAGAATGGCGGCGGGAACGACGGTGGCCCTTCGCTG